ATATATATATATAAATATATTTTTACATTCATTTTAATTTTTTTTTATTTCTTTTTTTTATATTAAATAAATTTCTGTGTAGTAATGAAATATCTTTATATAAAATTTCGCTCAAAAGGATTAAAAATTTTTGTTAAAGATGATATATAAAAGTTTAATTATATATAAAGTACTAATAAGAAATATAAATAATGAGTAATAAAAGATTTATAAAAATATTTATTTTTATGAATTAGAATATAATATTTAACTCTCTACCTTAATTTTTTTTCTTTTAATTATTTAAAATAAACTTAAATATTTTTAGGTATATATAATTTTTTTTTTTCTTACAAAAATTACATTTTTATGTTTTTTTAAAAAAAACTTAGTTATTTATATTTTTGGTATTTGAGATATATTTTAAAAAAATACAGAAAAATAAAAAATATAAAAAAAGTAATTTCAAATAAATATATCTTTTTAATAATAATATTTTTAAAATATATATATAAAATATTTTTTTATAATTATAAATAAAATGAAATTATTTTAATTATAAATTATGTTTACAATCATTATTTTAATTATAAATAATTTATAAATAATTATAATTTATTTTATATTTAATAAATAATTTAATAAAATAATTAAATTAAATAATTTTGAAAATATTTAAAAAATTTATAAAAATATATAATATTTTTTTATTCATAACAATTTTTAAATCCATTATTATTTAAATATTTTTATAAATAAAAAATAATTATATATTTTTATAAAATATTTTTTTTTTTTCATTTTTTTTTTAAATTATTTATATTTAAAAAAAATAAAATTATATTATATTATTTAAATTAGAAAAATAAAAATATTAACTCCCCATATAAAAAAATGAATAATAGAGTCTAAAAAAAAAAAAAATATAAATAATTATATAAATTATTTATGAATATTAAAGGCCCCTTAATCTTATTTAACTAACAACATATTTGGTTATGAAGAAGATTATGAAGAATAATAAAGAGTAAAAAATTTATATTTTTATTTATAAAATATTAAATATTTAAAATAAGAAAAAACAACAAAATCCTTTAGTCCCATCTAATAGAATATATGGTGGTTATGAATATAATGAAGTCTAATAAAAAGCTATTAATGGCTATAAAGGGGAAAACAACATTTATGGATAAGTTGAATAAAAATAATAACCTTCAATAAATAGAAGAGTTCCTTAAGATAATAATATTTTTGGAGGATATCAATAATAAGTTGATGACGAATACTCAAGAAAGAAGCAAAAACTCTAAGTACAAATAAATACTTTTTATAAAAAATAATAATTTAAAATAAAAAGCCTATGATTGGTGATAGACCTGCTGGTATGTCAAACATTCAAAAAGAATCTTTTGAATAAAATAAAAACTTAAATCAATAACTTAAAGTTAAGTAACTTTCACATAACAATATTTTCGGAGATTAAGAAGATGAAAATGAAAAATAAAAAAAGGATTTAAAGTTGATGATACTTATGACAAGATTTTTGGTGGATATGCTTATAAACCTAGTATGGCAAAAAAAGATAGAATTTCTGGAAAAGTAAATAATTTTTTTTTAAAAAAATAAAAATGTTTTTTATTTATAGATTGGATAAACTTATGAATATTGAATTGTAATTTATAAAAAACATGAAAATTATTACTTAAAATTAAATATTTTTTGTATTTTAATTCATTTTTTTATATTTATGTTTTTTTTTTTATTAATTAAAAAACTTTTCGAAATTAAATTATAAGGAGAAAAAAGTATATTGTAAAATATATCTATTAAAATATAAATTATTTAAATATATTTTAATTTACATATATATATATATAATTTTTTTTAGTTTATTTTTTATTTTATTTTTAATTATTTTTTAAACTAAATTATGAAAAAAAAGCTTTTTCGAGTTTTCAAGTTACTTTTTTGTTGATTAAGTTTTTTGAAAAAAATACAAATTGTATATAATAATCTAATAATATATTTATTTATAAAACTTTTTTAAAAATAAATTAAAATATAAAAGTATAACTATTTTTTTAAAATACTATATAAATTATATGTTATAATAATTGATATAAAGACTTATGCATTTTTTATTTTACTATGTATATTTAATATTTATAAAATATATATTTTATATTTATGTTCAATTAGTTATTTTTTATAATTTTTGCTTCAAGTTTAATAAACAGTATATATGTCGAAAAATTTTTTAAAAATACAAAAAATAAATTGTAATAAAGTTGACAACTAAAACTTTTAAATTATTTTTTATTTAAATAAAATTATTAATTAATAAATACTATTTTATTTTGTTATATTATATTTATATAATATTATTTATTATCATTATTATTTCTTTTTTTTTTGTTATTTTGTTTCTATAAATAATATTCATATAATGCTTTTATATCTTTGGTTCATTTAATAATTATATCCTTAAGAGTTCTAGATAAAACTAAAGTAAAATTAATCTAACTTCCTTGAATATAAGCTTCTTTTTCCTTAAAACCTTTTTTCGTAATATCAACTAAGTATTTATTAGAAAAAAAAAATCTTTAAATTTTTAAAAAGTAGCAAAAATTAGATAAAAGTAAAATAAGCTTTCCAATATTAATCTTAATTTTATATTTATATTAAAATATTCATAAAAAATTATTTAAATAATTTATACCATAGTTAAAAAGATTTTTTGTGATCGAAAAAATATAATATTTCTTTATAGTTTTAATAATTTATTAAATCCATAATAATTTAATAATATTAATAATAAAAATATTGATTTATATAAGTATTTACCAATTTTAATAATTATTAAATATAAAATACTTTTTATTTTTTTATAAAATATCTTAAGCTATTTTTTATATTATTTTCCTGGAAATTTAATATAATTTATTTTAATGTTTATTAAAATAATAAATTTTAACTATTTTTGAGATTGAAATTGAGTTTTAAATCTTTTTTTAAATTTTAGGATTGTAAAAAATTGCTTTGTCATAATCTTGTATTAAATATCAATAATTTTGATATTTCATAGAGTTAATGCTTTATTTTGGAAATATATAGATATATATACTATGGTTTTAAGTACCTTTTTAAATTAATTAAATGGCCTTAGTATAACATTTTAGCGCTGTTTCAAAATTATTTTAAGAAAAATAAATTTGCCAGAAATTTTATATTCTTCTGAATCTTTAAATTAGTCCAATATTTAATATATGAATTCATAAAAAGTTTCAAAAAACAAAATATATTTATGATTTTAATAATATTTATATTTTACTTTTATTTTTTTCTAAAATACAAATATAAAAAGAAAATTATTACTTTTAAATATTTAATTTTATTTTTATATAAATTTTATAAATATTTTTATTTATTAATAATATTTTTTTTTTTTTTCGGAAAATAAATTTATTTTTATTTTTATAAAGAGAAAATATAAATTTACTTTTTGAAAATAATATATATTTAAATAAATAAAAAAAAAATTATTTATAATATTTTAATTATAAGAATATAAAAATATTTTTTTTTTTTCTTAAAAATAAATTATAAAATATATATTTAAATATATTAAATATATGAAACTCTAAAATTATTTATACAAAAATAAAATTATTTTAATCATTTTTTTTTTAATTTATTTAATAAAAAATGATAAATTATATAAATAAAATTTTATAATGTTAATCAGAAAAATAAAATAATTAAATAAATGACTATTGGAGTTGAGGTTGGGTTTAGAATTGGGGTTTGTGGGGTTGGGGTTGGGGTTGGGGTTGGGGTTGGGGTTGGGGTTGGGGTTGGGGTTGGGGTTGGGGTTGGGGTTGGGGTTGGGGTTGGGTTGGGTTGGGGTTGGGGT